ATGTATTCATCGCATCTTAAAAAATGATTTATAAGTCTTCAATTGTGTCATATTTTAAATATGTGTTCGCACACTATGTTATTGAATTACCTTTTTTAAATACAATTTAGTTCATTGTATACAAATTTGGTAGATAATCTATCTATAAATCAATTATATAAAATGTGCAGTATTCCTAAACCATTTCAATCTATTTTTGCAGACAAATATATCCTTATCATCAAGCTTTGCATCCTTTCTTTTGTGTTCAAATTTGTGCGTAGATTCAGCCTGAGGTTATTAGGCGGAGCTTGGAAATCGAATCGAGCGTTCAGTTAGCAGGACTTATCAATATCATACAGTGAAATACTTCCGCAGAACACTCAAGTTGGAACTACTTTTTGTAGCACAAAAGATTTCATTGAAATCACTATTGTATTATCTCTTTGTATATAGAGACATCACGTAGAGCTTAGCACGTATGTGCGTCGACTCACTTTCCCATACCTGACTGTAATATATATTTCATTTAATGTACATTGAAATCTATCAACATTGTAAGATATTTGCTTTTGCTTCTGCAGCTAATTACTTGTTAGTCGGTTTTTAATTTAGAACTTATTGCCTCGAAAGAAAGAAATAATTTTCTTGAGTTATGTCACTTGAAATCAATCGTTCGAAAGCCATAGAATTACGTTTCTTGCTGATTGGAATCCTGAAGGGAAGCGGAGAAGAGGAAGGCCAAAGAACAAATTACTTCGGAAAATAGAAACAGATATGAAAAGGATGAATAACTGGAAAGTATTACCCAGGATTGGATGGCGATTGCTGGTGGGTGGCCTATGCTCCTCCACGAGAAGTAACAGGCCCTCCTCAGAAAGGCTCACCAACAGTTATAAGGTTACTTATCTTTCACATGAGATTCGAAATCGCACCATCCAGTTTCGATATCGGAGACATTAGCACTGTGCTCTTCTGGATGTAACTGACCAGTAAGATAAGTTATCACTGAGTAAGTACCAGTATCACACTGATTTTGGGGCTTTTTACTACGCTCATTAACAATTAGTTCTGTTGGCTACATTGTTGTGAATTTCGTCTATGCGAATATTCCTGAGTCCTCTTGTAGTAAGCCCATTTAGTTATTGTATTATTTATCTGTTCACTGTAATTTAGACACTTAATCCACTATGTAAATTCCTGTGTGAGTCTGAGCGCGTGTCTGCACATCAATCTTTTATCTATTCTCTGATTGGTTGTAGCACACAACCAATTAACACTCATAAATATATACGAATTTTTAACACACTCATTTCACTGTGTGCTTGCTTCTTGTACGCTTGCGGATTTCGCTAACGTTTAACAATAAACTATATAACTGGTGTTCAGGCTTTTGAATAATCTCGAGTAAATCCATAATTCTACTAGGAGATTTAGCCTGCGTTATATACTGCTATCGGAATACTATTTATTGGAGTCAGATATAGAGGAGATTAACCTCAACAAAGTTGGTGAGCCGCATTTAGAACACTCACCATTTCTCTATACTCTAACACAGTTGTTGCGTGCGCTAATTGTCGATTGTTGATATTATAATCAACCGTTTCTGGATCACTCATAAGAACACTTTAAAAGCCAGCCAAGTACTTTATAGTTTATCTGTTATTTATACTTAAAAATCTCGTGATTATATGCATGAAGTCAAACTCATAAATTATAAATCTCGATAAGACATAATACAACAACGACTAACAAGTTGGTAATTAATTAACCACAGATTATGAACAACACAAGATATTATAGAAAATAACAGTTCAAATGAGAGCTTACAGTTAGGTTAATATAAAGTACTATTAATTTAAGGTTTAGCGAATATATGTAGATGATATATAAAGTGATCCCCAGGAAAATAACTCCCAGAGTTACATTTTTTCGCCCATTTTTTAACAGTCAAGACCTTAATGATGAAAAATTCTATCGACCAATCTATTATGTGGCCACTGGTCCGAGTGAATCGACATCTCATGTACGATGTTTTTATGTAAAGTGGTCGAAGGCATGGGGCAATAGGTCTTCAACTGAGTTTACTTCTTAGAAGCCATCAACAGGGTGTCTCTGTAAACTCTGTGGGGGGCTCGAGCCCACCTTCTGGAACACTGACAAAAGGTGTATCAATAGTATGGTGTCATCTTCAGTATTATTGTGGTGTATGCTACCGATGTCGACAGATATAAGTAGCATGTATCACTAATCGAAAGTGAGATGCCTGGTTAAGATCGAATAGAACAGAACGAGAATAGAGAGGAACGATCAGGTCTGTGACAATTGATTGACATTTTGCAAAGTATTTACTGTGTGGTTTTCAGATTTTACTAAGATACTGTGTTATGTTGTGTTCAGATACGTTCGGTTGTCCTGACTAGTGTTCTCGTCCACTACATTAAGATATTTCATTCTAATAAGTCATGAATATCAAGAAGTACCTAACTCAGAAACAACAAAAACTTCCGTTCTGATAATTGTCGTATTCTTATTACACTGTCCAAAATTACCAAAAGAACTAATAGCTCTAAAAGACTGGAGTTTGATCCTGAATCTGCGAATGAATAAATGGAGGACTGAATTAAACATTAGTGACTGTACGGCACATTAAGTAAACACCGCTTTATTCTAAAAAAAATGTACTGCGTTTGACGTGGAATTCTTCAACAAATAACTGGATGAATATTCAACAGTATCACCTATCTTCTAAAAAGTTCACAGGATTACCAGCTATATATGACATCATGCAAAGAGAACCAATCAGGGCTGAAATTTCACACTTTATAACTATTGGTAGGTACTCGTTTTCCGGTGTAGCCACATGGAATTCTGCGTTATCAGAAATATTTACTTAATTACATAATTATCTTTCGATCCAAGTCTATAAACAACGTTAATAGTGTAAGGTAGTTGGGGAGATTGTTAACTTCATATTACGGAATGCTTGTATTTAGACAACAGCTTTTCCATCCTAGTATAGAACTCCTTGACAGTGGGTACCTACTGCCCCACCGAGGATCTAACCCCAACCTTTAGATCTCGAGACTAGGTAGCATCTCTACTTTACTTTCCTAGTTCCACCAGTTTTTCCAGTTATTAGCGAACAAATAGCTTACTTAGCTTCGTATTCCTGTGGAGACAACTAAATCAATCCTCAATACATGAATCACTCACTGTAAAAGAAGCGCAACTGACTAACCATAAGAAACTACTGAATAATCAACCTAATCCATAATATGAAGCAAAAAACCAGACTTATGTGGTTGATGATAAAAACACTACAGGTAATTGAGCATTACATTTATTGAGTGATTTGATTCATTAAGAGCAGTTTTAGGCAACAGCAACTGTTTCTTATGACTAGAAAAGTATCAATCGAATTATGTCAGATTTTACCTAGTTATCAATCAGTTCAAATCTTGAATAGGCACTTTAAAATGTATAATTCACTTGATATTGCTTTATTTGAATCTTCCCATTGATGTTTAGGACTGAAATTGTTCAGTCTCTTATTGGCATATGTGCATACTGTGCGTATGCCTCGATATTGCCTTAATTTACAATCATTATAAACAAAGATGGATAGTGGCTAGCAGTGGAATCCAGGACGCGCGTTTCGTCCTATTTGGAACTCGTCAGCTGGATGTACCTGCATCTCAGAGTTGTTCACTCCGGGACCCGAAACCAGTACCGTCCGCTTCAAACGCCATCGCGTTATCCACTTAGCTACTGAGTCCTGATAGCCACTTGTTTGTGCAATGGGGTGAAGTTTAATTTACTTGATATTGTTTTATTTGAATCTTCCCATTGATGTTTAGGACGAAACGCGCGTCCTGGATCCCACTGCTAGCCACTATCCATCTTTACTTTAAAATGTAATCCGTAGTCACAGACTACACCCTTCATTGAAAGCGAATCATTCCTACCTGTAATAAATATTCTATGACATTAACACAACTGCCCTTCTACGCCCAAACCAACACTTGCTATCGTTTGATTGTGAGCTGACTATTAATTGAGGTTCGAATTGCGATCCTAAAAATCATATTGATGTGAATTTGGATTTTTTTATCATCAGAAGGGGTTTTGTGGAGATTGTAGTAATTTCAATGATTAAGATCATGAGTCAGTTGAAGCTAGACCGCCATGGAAAACCTGGATAATAATTTGGATTTTATCAACAGGGTAACGAAAACTAATAGGATGCGAGATGCCTAAGAAATAGTTAACACATTGTGAAATATCAAACTCGGAACTGGTTCCCAGAGATGCCGTTTTTTTTATAAGCAAACGCATTTTTTTCAAAATGCATAACTTGACAACCAGGAATGTGGATAGTTCTTCTTTATAAGTGCCTGACACCCAAGGGCGTTTGCAAACAATCCATATTCAATTTATTTATTTTAACACATAAGTATAGGTACAGGGAGGCACCAAATACATATGCGCCAAACAAATCTCAATTGATTTGTCTGAGGGCTGTGAAACTGCCCGGGTGCCCAAACCGAAGCAGGTGGTTTTCTTAGGGCGCCACACCCCGAGCCTTTGACCTGAACGTCTGACCCACAAGGCAGTGGATCATCGTGAGGAGATGCAGTCCCATGGTAGCCGGTGACCGACGAGTGGTTCATACGCCATTTGTTCCCGCAGGATACTGGAGCCCATGTGCACCATTGGTTTGGGGTCCGGTTAAAGCGCCAGACATTCGCTTTTCGTCCTCTCATTTTTGTAAACAACATGTTTATATCATCCTACCTACATATTTCCAACAAGATATAACCGTCGTCTAGACAACGGAGCAGAATAGTTTTAAGAAAGTTAGTAACTATCGAACATTAAAACAAATGTACTGTTCTTGAGTGCTTCGAGAAGCACTATGTGATACCATAAATCCAAAGAAGCAACACTTACAAGAACTAAAAACCAACATAATACTTTGGGGACAAACATTAAGCACCGTCGGTAAATGAACTCACAAGCCAATGAAGAAATTAATTTATTAATTAGTAGAGACATTGTACAAGGTCAGGTGTTATAGTTTATCCAAGAAGTTATCTAAGGGAGGAACACCTGCTTTTAAAGCCTTACGTTTTCGCGCCTCCACAACTACCTGTCCAGGCTTTGAGTTTTCGTCGAGAGGATCACCAGGATAAATCTGCCAATGGTCGAAGACACACTGAGGAAAAGCTTGCCCGCCAGTTGCAGCACGAAGATCAGTCGTGAAGCCTAAAACAATATTAAGTTACTAAGAATGAGTTACCGAAAGATTCATTAACCGGCATATAAGCTTTGGTAATACACATTGGACTGTCAGCTTTTCGTTCTTCCGAAAGTGTGATGGCCCTCTTGCGATTCAAAGTACTGTAGATGCCTCCCATAGCAGTGGCCGGTCCTTGGATTTCTACCAGATAAACTGGTTCTAGTAAGCATGGTTTGGCAGTAAGAACGGAAGCATAGAAGCATCGACGTGCTGTACCTATGATTTGATTACCTCCACGGTGGATAGCGTCTGCGTGCAGTACTACATCTATGAGATTGAAACGGACTCCACGCATATGTTCTTGACAAAGAACACCTTCTTTAGTTGCCCACTGGAACGCAGCGACAACGCTATCTTTTATTTCATTTAAATATTGAACTGCCTTAGTGGTATCGACCACAACATTAGGTCCTGTGTTCTCTGGACCAAAGCACCATAACTTCCTAGCTTCTGTAGCATCCCATCCGTAGTTGTCTACTAGATAACGAGAACGATCTTTTATATCCTGATTAGAGCAGATTTTTCCGTTATCAATGTCTTGTGATAATTCTTCTGATAAAGGTAAGGCACGCATGTACAGACGATTATGTTTGTTAGGGGATTTCGACAGACAGGTCTGATTTGACTCCTCCGTTACCGTCTCACGATAGGAAACTACGGGATTACTTACTTTTAAAGGAATGGCGGCATGATCTTCCATGAGATCCTTGAGGCAAATTTCAAGATGTAGCTCACCAGCACCTGCGATGATGTGTTCACCCGACTCCTCCTGCGTTATCTAAAAGCATATGTGGTAAATATTATAATAACCTACTTGGACCATAGGATCACTTTTGGAAAGACGGTTCAAGCCTTCAAGAAGCTTTGGCAATTCAGCAGGATTTTTACATTCAACTGCAACGCGGACCACAGGACTGACACTAAATTTCATTTGCTTCAAGTTATGAGCCCCCGCAAATGTCGTAATGGTGCCAGTTTTGACAATAAACTGATCCACTCCTACTAACCCACAGATGTTTCCACATGGAACATTCTCAATCGCTTCTGTGTAACGACCCATCATAAGTACAGTTCGTTGAATAGACTTTTCGTAAAGATCTTCTTTTTTCCCTGGAACGTAGTTGGGGCCAGTTATTCTTACTTTTTGTCCTGTCCCAATTGTACCAGAGAACACACGGCCAAATGCATAAAACCTACCTTTATCTGAAGTCGGTACCATTTTACTAATGTACATCATGACTGGACCATTTTGATCACAGTTTTTCATTGCAATAGCCGCCTCATCTTCCATGGGTCCTTCGTAAAGCATTTCTATTCTGTACTGCTGTGAAGTGACAGGACTAGGGAGATGAATGCATATCATTTGCAGAAGCGAGTCGCCAGCAGGAAGCCACTTATGTAATGCTGTTTTCAGTCGTTGTTTGTCAGGAAGGGACATCTCAGCTTCATTTAGCGTTACACCCATCTTCGTTAGCAATTCGATCTGTTCTTCCTTACTTTTCTTCATGATAGTATCAAAAACCTTGTAGATCGGTGACAGTATAAACTGGTTAAAACCACGAACGCCGTCAGAAGCTGGTTTTTCTTTGGTCCATTTCTTTGTTTTAACATTGTAGAAGTTGTCACCCCAAAAACGTTTAACCAATACACTTGGTTCAATTCCGAATTTGCTTGAGTAAAGTCTAGCAAATGTCATCAATGTGAAGGCCCAACTTTGCAAACCGGAACCGAAACCTACAGTCCCTTTCACAACATCTAACGCCAGATCACCCATTGCGTTATTAGATGTTTCAAACTCTGAAATTATGACGTTGACGTTTTCAACCACTCTCTGGAACTTTTGATAAAGTTCTTCCATATCACAGCTCAGAGTCGTGACTGCCATATCCATCTTATTCATGAATAATACTGGTTTGATCCGTTCTGTGAGAGCCTGACGTAGAACCGTTTCAGTTTGTACACAGACACCTAACAAAATACCATAATTTAAAAGCAAATTACCTGATACACAATCAACTACGACAAGAGCTCCATCTGTTACACGAAGGGCTGCAGTGACTTCTGAGGAGAAATCGACGTGCCCTGGTGAATCTATGAGGTTTATGAGAAACCCGTTTTCTTCTTTTCCTTCTGAGTTAACAGCGATAGGCTGAACTGCTTTAACGCACTGGATATCTTCATTTGACATTTCATAATATAAGCTGATGGCTGTTGATTTGATAGTGATGCACCTTTCTTGTTCATCTTTCCGAGTGTCTGTAAACCGAGCATCTCCAGCGCGTGAATCAGCAATAATGCCGGCCTTGCAGACAAGTGAATCTGTAAGTGTGGACTTCCCATGATCTACGTGTGCTATGACGGACATATTGCGAATATTCCGCTTATAATCCATCATCCGACGCAGCTCATCTACCGTGAATTTCACCTAGGGGAGAAAATTCAAAAATCATTCTGATGGCTTTAAAGTACTCATGAGCAACTTGACAAATCATAAACGTAAACAATCTACGAAGCACATGGACAAGCGTTATGGATAAGTCGACAATTCGTTGATTTAACAGGCAACTCCAATTGAACAACCGCAATCTAGCACTCTAAGGCAACAGCTACAAGTAATTATGGTTAAAATAGAATTGTACTTTGTAGCTCAAGTATTGCAACGCATGTGAAACTTGGACATCTTATCAGATGCCCTTACGGCATTTAAGTTAGACAACTACCGAATGAAACTTGTAAACTGTTTTAAAAATGGGGAGACACCTTTAAATCGTATCTAGAAACAGGGGATCACTGAAGCCTTCGGGTAGAAATGTAGGTATATTTAGCGGGCCAGTGAGACATTGGCAAGTTATAGTGCGAACTACTTTGAAGTGTTAATGATATGTCAAGTTTTCTCTTGAACCTCTGGTAAGCCACTCGGGACGCTAGTTGGCAAATAATTCCAGGATTTGATTACTCGTCGAAAGTAGTTGGATCCAGAAAAAGTCATAAGATGAGTTAGTCTCACTAGATCATTACATTACAACCAAGAAGGTCATTAAAGACTTAATTATAAACTCCTTAGTGAATTACAATTTATAAATGGTCTCATTAAAACTCTGCACATTGCATACAAATATTTTTAGTTTGGTAAATTAAATATTTGCCAGGTGGATAATTTACAACAGTTTGTTTTGTTTGAGTTATCAACAGAGTTCCTAGTTTGTCCTCGGAAAATTTCCAGTTCCTTCGAGAAAAATACCTCTAATAATTTCCCCAATTTCGTGTCTCAAGCAATGGTTTCAGTAGACTAGAACATAACTAGGCTAATGAGCAAAAGCCACCTAAAGTATCTGGTGACTTCTGCTCTCATATTAATGAGGATGTGCAGAGTGAATGATACCATTGCCAACAACCTGTAAATATTGCAAGCACCAACATTCAAATAATTACGAGTCTCGCTACCCGGCTATTGAGGCATGTTATGGAAACAACACGAACGCTCACCATAAGCCAACTTCATCGTCCAGGTGGGAGGAACTATACAACACAACACTTACCATCTCGCTGACGTCCGCTACTGCCAGCACCACCTGAATTCTGTACAGTGCCACCGGATAAACTACTAGTAAAACACAATCCAATGTCCAATATGTCTCATGTCTTTACGATGAGCAATTGTAAACCATTTTATTACTTTGCGCCCGCATTTTAACTTTATGCAAGGTATTATCTTTTGGGTAACTTTAAATGTTGTGATCCCAGACTCTTGCCTGAAATATTTGTAGAGACAAATACGTAGCTATCGTTTGTTTTATTTCGTGATTAGATGAGTGAGTTGATCGAAGGGGTCGAAATGTCTAATAAACAATCTAGAAGGACTGCTTCCTGTGAGATCATGGCTGAACTACGTGGTACATAAAATTGGATCTCGTCTAATAGTTCAGTCGACGACGAGTTCTTTCATGTTTGATTCATTACCATTTTTCGGCACAACACGACACCAGTACTTCTACTTTACATGGATCAGAAGCAATAAAATATACTGGCCATTCTCATACGTCACTGGTCGGACGGAAGTGCTGTGTAGGTTTCACCCTAGTTGTTTGGGTGGTGTGTTCTGCTGTTTTACATGTCTATCACTAAACACCTTGAAACGCGCCATGACCAAAAGATAGCCTCCAATTGTTCTGTGGAGAACGTAAACTGTCCCTGACATTGGTGTAGTTTAATTGGTTAGTGCTACTGTGCACCCACGTGGTTCATCTGGCCTTTGAATAGACTTTGGTAGCTCGGACGTCCTGTGTTGTATATCTGGAGTTAACTGTGAAATGTCGTTTGATCGTTGAAACTCTTGTAGGGAATATTGTGTGAAGACGAGATTAGACAGGTGAGTTCATTGTCCGTAAAGTGATTAAATTTCCGGCCTTCCACATAGTGTTGAATGTGCCTTACAGCATAATACATAGTTGGGAGTTCCCTGCCGAAAGCGCAATACCTCGATTCAGTGTCCTGCGTTCATCTCAAGGATTCCCGGGAGTTGTTTACTCTTTGCGGTAGGATTCTGACTGACGAGTCAGATGCGTCTACGGTGATACTAAAGGGTGCTTTGATGTCCTGGTTCAGATGCTGGAGATGATACTCTCTGTCCGGACTTGCAATCAAGCACTCATCTACATATGCGTGTACGAAGTTGAGGCCTTGAACCACGTCACCGGCATAAGCAAAAAATCGGTTGTGCCCTTTAATGTAGCTGCCAAACCGTAGATGCTTGGCAAGGGGTAACGATCGGAAGTGGTTCACGTATTCTGTCGCCCATAATCACCAGTTGGATGTCAACCATTGCCGCCTTTTTAGGGACCATGTACGAGGAAGATGCCAATGGTTCGATGGCCGAATAATTCCCAACTCTATCATATGCTCGAACACGTTTTGGGCCAAAAGAAGCTTTTCGAAGGCTAGTCAGCGCGCTTTCAAAAATACGAGTGGTCCTATAGTCCTTATGTTAGTTGTATTGTTGCCGGTTATATGTAGTAATTTTGGTCACATTTTGTGCGATTCGAGGCACTTGTCGAAAATCCGTTAAAAATAAGGATCGAATATATGCTTAATAGTGACTGGGCATAACCAACAACGAGAAGAAGGAGTTACACGAATAGATAATTCTGTATTTTCGCCTATAATTCTTCATTCGCTTGGATTGATGTGTAAATTATGTTGTAGTAGGTCTATAGCAATTATTGGCGTAGAAATATTTGCAACAACTAATGTCCAGTGAATGGGTTTACGTAAAACCATATTAAAATAAGCATATCTCTTACCATGTGCGGCGATCGGTTCTCCATTTGCACCCTGTAGGTTGAAGACCGGTTCATGCAGACGGTCGTTAGAACTCGCGGTAAGAACTCTTACTTCTGCACCAGTTTCAAAAGGATAGCGAATGCTCGTCATCAAATCAGTGATGTACAATATTCTAATATGTTCTCCGGTAACGGTTGCCGTTAACGCGTGCATGTGGGGATGCTTTCAGAAGAATTTTCCGTGTCAGAAATTTTGGAGACTGGAGAACTTCAAAGTGTTCTGTGATTTCGAGAAGACCTGCCATGCTTCTTGTGATGCCAGAACCAATAAGGATTATCCGTCTCCCACGGCCTTGAGACTAGTCACTTTCGCGACGAACTCCTTTGAATAATTCGGGAGTATCTATGATTATGATGAATATTAAGATAACGAGCGAGAATATGACAGAGGTCTGTAACACTATTAGTTTCGTTTGAGGCTTTTCCTTGTCAGAATAAACCTTGGTGCTGTGTTTCTGGTGATCTCCAAAATCTGATCGGTAGATGCGTCAAGTTCTTCCACGGAGTCATTTTGAAATGAGACAAGAACTGCTCGCACTCGTTGGGGAAGCTCATACAAGAATTGCTGTCTAGACAGCCCTCGTCGAAAGTCAGTTGACCAATGGCCTCTCACATTCGCAACAACACTTCTATTACTGAGCCGTGTTGCAGCTCGATGTTGCGGTAGTGTTTTTCTAACCCTTGCCAGTCGGTTGAGTCTCCACGTTTAAGAACAGCATCCTTCAATGCGTCGTAAAGTTCAGATACGTAAGTAGTAAGCATACTAGGTGTGACGTGCCGGTTAAAATTAAGTGGTAGTGTCCTTTTAGTGGCATTGGGCCCTAACTGCACAACCCTCAAAGCTGGACACGGGATAATCGTGGAAATAACTATTCATCGTTGAACGCGGAGAAACTTCCAACGATAGAGAAGGCGGGAACAACGAATAAAGTGAATTCGAATTGATCGGATGGCATGGCTAGGCCTTGTAGGCGTGGCTATCCTTGAATGTTGTTATATACCTTTTGTTCATATTAAATATATTATTCTACTTCTAGCCTAAGTATGTTCTCCATCATATATTGATTATTGTTACGACACGATGAGTTAGTATAGATAATAACGTGACTTCCACGTAAGATCTTATAGATTAGGCAGTTACATCATGAAAAATGTACAATTTTGGGATTAGGTCTATTATTACAGCATTACTAATATTATAGTAGACCATAATTCAACATTGGTGAGCCTGACTTGTTTGTGAAAGTCAGATTCTGCGTAGAAGAACCAGGCTTCTATATTGCCAGGCCAGAATGGCATTAATTGAAGAATAGGTGTAAGTTTTAATTTCAAAAATTTAGGTGTCCGTTTCGTCATGATGAAGATGAGATATACAAATGGGCGAGAAAAAATATCCGAAAACATAAGAGGAATATTACAATGTATAAAAATGAAATTAAAAGATGATGTGTAATATTCCAACAAGAAACAGCCCCACAGCTTATTGTTTAGTGTGCCAGATCACGTTAAGCCCACCACTAAAGATGCGTTTGATCCAAGTTGGCTGACAGTTCCAATAGATGAGAGGCACAGCATACTCACTTATGATTTGCAGTAGACACTTGACCGGGAGTTTATCCAGTCAAATTATTGAGGGTAGCATCAACCAAGACTCTCAGAACTATTTTTTCGTTGTTATCATCATAAGATGGAATTGGAGTCAAACCAAGCAACACATAATCTACTGATTTCCTGAACTCCTTTTTTGTACCTTTTTTACTACATGATATCACTATGCTAGCCTCTGAACAGAACGTTCCACTGTCATGATCTTCTCCTAGTCAGTACTAAGGAGATTCGGTAAAACCTGAGAAATGTGGTTAAGGATAAACATCCTTCTCCAGTCTTCAGTAGAAGTGTGATATCCAGTCTTTCTATAGCTTTTATGGCACTTTTCGTTCGTTCAGTGTGCTATTCCTGTATATCATAGTGCTGTATTTGATGATGACTATTTCAACGATCCAAAGCTGTCTGTTTGTCTCCTGTTAACAAACTACTACAGCACATCCCGACGTCCCGGATGACGTTAGGAAAAAGGAGAGTTGGAGCTTTAAATGAAACGTTCAGTGAAATTTACGCTGTTTTGTTTAACATACGCTCAGTAAATTAGCGGAAAGATGCCTTGGATTTCTTATACGTTCCCAATCAAATGGGTTCACGAACAATTGTCTTGTCATCCATATCTTAAAAGTAGGAACGCTTTGTGACTTGACACCAGAGGCTTTTATAAAGCCAAGTAGCTGTTATGGGAGTACTCTTTTTTATTCCCGTAGTGATGTTCATTCACATCGTGTTGACAAAATATTTGGAACCCATGATTAAATTCCTTTTGAGACTTGCTCTTCCTAATGAAAGATCTTGTTTCCATCTGAGAACTCTCAGTGGAAACGCGTTATCTGCCTTACAAATAGAGGACATATGTCTCGTGAGTTAGTATAACTATCTTAATTTTCATATATCTAATGGTGTACTCACCTAAGAATTCAAAGTATTAGTTTTTTCCATTAAAAAGTCCCTATGTAAATGAAACAACTCCAGATTTTGTCTTTAAACGAATAGGACACAAATTTCCCTTAGACAAACATTTACACTAGTTACCTTGCCCATGTCTATTCTACAGTGTTTCAACCCAATACAGATCAAGAACATGTGACTGGTCTGTCTAAAATGTATGTTTCTTGTATTTAATATAATACCAGACTCAACCTAAAATGACAACCAATAAGTGCAATAGGAAGCATGGTTGTAACTGCAATATCCAGACTTTCATGTTTTTGTTTCAGTGACCTTGAGCTCTGATGAAAGGGTCAGAATGACGCTTTCGTCCACACCGCAAAAGAGAAGGAGAAGGGACTAATTCTATTAGATATGCAAGGTGAGAGCGAGTTAGTTGAATCGGAGTTTAAGGTTCGTGAGGAAGAAGATGGTTAGTTGCCTACTCACAGTGGTAAAGTAAATTCCATGGAGGAAGGATATTTAAAGTCTAATACTGGTTGTAACCTCCGTTTGGAATAGCTATCTACCAGTCCAACAGACAAATGACCCCATGATATTGGGGGTAGCTTGAGTATCATTTTTAATTATATCAGTTTACCCAGAACTGACATTATGCATTTCTATGGACAGACTGGTCAATGCAACGTTTTTCTTAGTCATTTAACAATGATTAACGAAAGTGAACTATCCGATACAAGTTAAATATC